AAGAGAGAGGCTGGGAGAGGGGAGGGCAACTAACATGATCAGGGGTTGGGAACAGGTCCCATATGAAGAGAGGCTAAGGCGACTGGGACTTTTCAGCTTAGAAAAGAGGAGATGGAGGGGGGACAGGATAGAGGTCTCTAAAAGCAGGAGTTGGGTGGAGAGGGTGCATACAGAAAAGTTCTTCATTAGTTCCCATATAGAAGGACTAGAGGACACCAAAGGAAAGGAATGGGTAGCAGGCTTCAAACTAGTAACAGAAAGTTGTTCTTCACAAAGCAAAGAGTCAACCTGTGGAACTCCTTGCTGCACATGGACCCAACCTCCATGACTTGAACAGAGTTTAAAGGGAAGTGAAATCTAGTTCTAGCCTTCACAGCCTCCTGCAGCAAGGAGTTCCACAGGTTGACTCTTTGCTTTGTGAAGAACAACTTTCTGTTACTAGTTTGAAGCCTGCTACCCATTCCTTTCCTTTGGTGTCCTCTAGTCCTTCTTTATGGGAACTAATGAAGAACTTTTCTGTATGCACCGTCTCCACCCAACTCCTGCTTTTAGAGACCTCTATCCTGTCCCCCCTCCGTCTCCTCTTTTCTAAGCTGAAAAGTCCCAGTCTCTTTAGCCTCTCTTCATATGGGACCTGTTCCCAACCCCTGATCATTTTAGTTGCCCTCCCTCTCCCAGCCTCTCTCTTCTCCTCTTCCACCTCCTTTTCCCAGTCTCCCCCAGTTTTGTTCAATAAGGACAGATTCCATTTTGGAAGACACGTTATCTTTATTTTGTACATCAAGAAGAGGGGCTAGGGAAGGGTAAGTGGAAGGAGGTGAGGGAGGAATGGGGCACGAGCCCCCGATGGGGAGGACTGGGCTGGCTCTGTGGGCTTCTGGGGGTGGAAGCTCTCCTGCAGCCCCCCAATTGCTCCCTCTCCCCAGATGGCAGCCTGCGGCAAGTGCAGCCAGAATGATGGCCGAGTTCTGTGATGTGCCCAGTGTGGGCACTCAGGGCCCTCCAAGCCAGGACTGCTTTGCAAGCGGGGCACCCCTGAGAACTGTCTGTCCGGGGTGGGGGTCGGGACCCTTTAAGCACAGCCCTCGGCTAGCCTGAGACAGCAGCTCCACGCTCTAAGTCCTCCTCTGATGCCCTGCCGGCACTGCTTCCGGCCATCCTTAACCCCGCTTCAGGGTCCACTTAATGTGGACGCGCTAGTTCGAATTAGCAAAACGCTAATTCGAACTAGTTTTTAGTTCTAGATGCGTTAGTTCGAATTAGCATAGTTCGAATTAACTAATTAGAACTAAGTTAGTTCGAATTAGTGCTGTAGTGTAGACATACCCTCAGCTATGCTTCCTTGGATGCATAAAGACTAGGTTTGCATAGGCAGTCTCCAAGTTCCCACAGATGCTTCCCTTGTAGCTGTATCTAACTTCCTTAAACTTAGTCTTGGAATGATTAGATTGTTTTTATCAGTAAAGGTACGTCTAGACTGCAAGGCTATTTCGGGATACAAGTCCAAGGATCGCGTCCTCTATTTTGAAATAAAATTTTTGAAATAATGGATGCATTATTTTGACATCCCTGTAAACCTCATTCCACGAGAAATAAGGGATGTCTCGAAATAGCACTTTATTTTGAAATTTGGCACTGTGTAGACACGCCAAATTTCGAAATAGTCTATTTTGAAATAAAATCTAAATATCTTATTTCGACTTTAGAGTACAGTCTAGACATACCCTCAGTGTCACTAAACATCAATTCTATAGCACAAACACAAACTAGCAAAGAATATTTTCATCAGTAATCAAAATTTGCAGTTAGGTGAAGTACAAAGCATGCTGTTTGAGAATGTAGGGTTTGATTTAAGGATCTTTGATTTGGAATATTTCCATGTGATGTTGACAGTTTATATTTGAATGGTTATAAAGGTTTAGTTTGCTGCATCTCGACGTACACAGTCATTACGTAATTGTCTGAGTCACATAATTTCCTGCAACTGTGAAATTTTTGTACAGATTCTAAATCTAAAAAAATGCTTGGAAATGAACAGCTGTTATTCATGTTTAAAAAAATAAAACGTGAATTCTGCCAGGCCTACTGATATTGTAGTAGCAGACTTACCCAGCATTGTTGGGTTCCTTCAGGGCAGGGCCTTGGGGATGTGGGTGGGGGTGCAGGAGGCCGGAGGCCAGAGACCAGTTGATTCCCCTGCCTGCCAAGGGTCTGCTATCTCCCTCTTGCAGGACTCCCCTTCCCCAGCCCACCAAAGGCCTGTTGTCTCCCCCTGTAACCTGGTCGGTCGTTCAGGGGTCCTGGGGCACCCCCAGTTCGCGAGCCCAGGCCGCAATAGGTCCTGAGCTGCCCCTGTTCCTGGCCTCTACCTTGCCCCTCCCACGGTCCTCTCTCTGCAGTCGGCTCCCACCGAGCTCCTACTCCGCCGTCCACTCCAGTCGTCCCCAGGATCCCCCGGCCCCCCGC